TCTATGCCATTCACTGTTTCCCCCATACTTGTGAATACTGTTTGCCCTCTGCTTGCTCTGCCTCAGGCTGGAAAGTCTAAGTGTACTCAATCTTTCTGAGCATGGAAATGGCTCAATGTTTTTTCTTTACTCTTTATTACCACTATATATACACCTAATTCTTCTAGATCTGTTTCAAAATTAGTTGAAGAGAATTACATGCATTATTGAAGATGGAGGCGCAAGGCGTATTTATACAGTGGCATAACACATTATTGAGTTTTTGACATTTGTCTCCTAATAAATCCATGGTCTTTTAACCATTGCTGATCAATAAGTTGCAGAACCATCCACAGTAATTCCAAGATGTTTTCGCAGATTTGCAAGTCTGTGAGATCAATCTTCTCAACATACACTACCTTACATCTATCGGAACTGAATTTGGCTCTCTATTCTGTTGCCCCATCCCTTCGTGCTGTGAGATCCCTCTGACGTTCCTCACAGTCAACTTTTGGTCTTGCTACCTGGAAAAATGTGTCAGTACTTTATTATTCATCCTCTGTCCCAGATAGTTTATGAGCACTTGGAACAGCAGAGATCCCAGCACACATTCTGCAGAGGACTCCAGCGGTAACGTCCCTCTACTGTCCAGTCATCTTTTTATTTTTCTATATGGTTTCCAATCTTTACCTAGTCACTACCTAAACACTACAGGATTACGCCATCTTAATTTCCCAAAAGTCTTTGAAATGCCATATGTTTGGTTGCTTTTTTTGGTTTTTTTTTTTGTTGATGGGTTGTTGGTTTTTTTTTTAAAGAAATCCAGGTATACCGTGATAGTTAAATCACCTTTATCAAATGTTCATCGAGTCATTCGAACAACAGGAGCAGATTTACAGGGCAAGCCTTCCTGCTGCAGAAGACAACTTGACTCCTCTCTATCATTGCCTTTATTCCTGGGAATGAACACTAATTCTGTTCTTTTTTTATAGGTTCTACCGAGGTGCCTAATAGAGAAGCCAGGCTCACTATTAGTTTCCCGTTTCCCAAATGCTCCACAGGCCCCTCTTGAAAAGCCTGACACGTTTACTGCTTTTCATTCTTCCATTCTAAGGCCAATTTAAGCAATGATTATACACAACCGTGTATAACTCGGCAACTTCACCACTGAGTTCTTCACAAAGTGAGAACTTTTCCTAGCAATGCATTGTGCCGATTTGCTTGCAAACGTCAGCCTTCTGTCAGCTTCCCCCAGCCTGTCCCCCAGAAAGGACGGCTCCACGTGGGAACTGTTCTGCAGTGAATAGCAATGCAAATAACGTCTCTGCTATGGCTTCACCTTCCCTTAGCTCACATGTAATATTATGATCATCTATCAGCCCATCGGGATCTCTGGCAGGCTTTCTGCTTTTGACAGTTAAACAAAAAGCTTTTTTTTTTTTATGCCTTTATAAAGTTGTTCCTCAACATTTTTCTGGCCTACCTCATTATGGTTTATATTTAACTTGCCAAAGCTAATGCTCTTTCCTATTCTCTTCATTTGGATGCAACTCCTGCTTCAGAAAAATGACTTATTTCTAGAAGCCTTGTTTACTTTACTGTTTAAGCCAGTCGTCATTCATTTTTGTGGCTTTCCTTCAATTTATTTCCCCTCCCCCCTCAGACTTTCACCATCAAAGCTGGACACAGTATTATAGAAGTCTTGGGTTATGGGGTTTTGGGGGGGTGGGGGGTGGGTGTTTCATTTTATATCAGTGCTACACACAAAAATTCTCAACCTATGCGTGTACATATGAACCTGAAATAGCATTTCAGCTACGAAATTTTGTTGAGATTGCATGAACCTTTTCTGTGTCTGTTTCCAAGACAGAGTTTTTCTATCTTGAAGGTATAATCTGCATTTGTTCCTCCCAGATGTCTTTTTTCATATTGGATGTATTAACATAGATTTTGTTGGACTGTGGCCATTTAAATCAGGCAAGCCAGATTGTTCTCTAAAAGTAACCAATCCTTTATTTAGTATTCTCCAATAAGTGTATAATCTGCACACTTAATTTAGGATTTTTTCCAGCTAGGATTATTGAAGAAGGCATCAAGCATTGGTCGAATGAGACTGAGGACTTCATAAACAAACAAACATACATTTAGTCTTTCTTTACCAGCAACCACATTTTCAGATTTCTCAGGGCATTGCTCTTTAATCTGTCTAGTGCTTGCTTATGCTTGGTGAAGTCTGAACTCACATTTTTATCATTAAAGAAGCACTTATCAAGAAGAGTTACATCCTCTGAAAAATATTTATTCTATCTCAACTATTTCCATCGTATTTTGCCTATTTACATTTACAATTGCGCTAAAAAGTCAGGAACTTTTAGAATGGGAAAACATTTATTCATTTTATTCATGCTTGAAAACAGCCAAGCCAACTTTATCCAAATAATAAAACCCAACAAACCCACACATTTTATGGCAAAGACCAAGCCTGAAAAATGTCAGCCGCAGAGATGATGTTTTCCTAATGATAAGAGCAACTGAAAACAAAAGCTGGAATAAAAGAAACCACGCAGCTCAAATTCTTAAATCAACAGGCAAGCTAATTTGGCTTTAAGAGTTCTAAATATATTAGATTATGATACCTGGTTTGGTACTATTAACTTTGCATAGTTCTTTGAGTACGAGAAAAGTTTCAGAAGAGAAAGAATCTTAAGTGTAGCATGGAATTCTTTGCAGAACTACTGGTCAGCCATCCTTACACCAGTCCTAGGTAAAATAACGAAATGTGTGACACTAATTCAGTTAGTAAAGAATTAAAGGACATCCTGGAAAAAATGTCAACCTTACTAAGGTTTAGGTTCACGTTAGAGAAGCAACTGAACATAAATCCCCAGAAAGATGCTGTCTTTAGAACTATGAATATGATTTTTCAGAGTATGAACAAGACAAGAACCACCTAGTTAGGCAAGAGACAAGTTACTACCTCTTTGCAGGGTATTAGTTCGATGCACTTAGCTACTGTGAGAAGGTGACTGAACACCGACCTGTAAGTAGCTACGGAGGGAGAGAATAAATAACACTTGGGATTCTAACAGACAAAAAAACCTTCTTCTAGAAGCCAAAGTCTTAAATAAATTTAAAATTAGATTAATATTTTTGCAATAGTGAGTTTATCCATGGATATAATGTTAGCACATTATTACCAGATGTTCCTCCAGTTGAAATCTTTAAATCACACTAACTAGCCTGTGATCCACGATGAATTTACTGGAAGAAAACATCATGTTCTGTGTCATGAAACAAACCAGGTTAAGGGACCATTAATGGTATTTTTCTGGCCTTAATAACTGTACTAAACAGTGTTCCTTCTTCAGTGTATATCATTTATCTCTGCAGAATCAATATGTAACAACAGCTGTGCCTTGGAAAGGGCAGTTAGATTTTCAGCTCTATAAAGAAAGGAAGGCTTTAGCTTCAGACATCTTACCACAGTTAAACTACCTTAAATTCCTCTTCTATACTACTTACATTTAATATATACACAAACACAGATTTAAAAACATTCAGTTCTTAAAGGAGGAGGATGATAATGTATCTACCTTCAGTTCTAGTATTTATTTACATGCTAACCAGAGTTCCAAAATTCACACAGAAGATAATACTGATAATTGTTTGTTTTACATCAGTGATAGAGAACATAGGCCCAACACTTAGTGTTTTGTTTTGAAGGCCTGGCTGTAGTATCTGCTGGCTACAAGGCAATGTCAGATTTTTATTTTTAATTTTTCAAGTTTGCAGATACCATGTTCACCAATAAAAACAAAGAAAGAAGATACCACCAGTTTTAGGCTTGGCCTGAAGGCCATGGTCACCCAACCTAACCCCTATGTGCGCAAGTCATGGAAATTCTCTCCTCAAAAGAAATAAAATATATCTTTTAGAAAAGTACCAGTTGTGCTAAAAAGTCCACAACTTCTTTTACCAAAGAGGTCACTGCACTAGATGATCTTTTCCATATGCATTAGAAACTTGTACAAAGGTCAAATCACCAACCATTTGGTCAAATTTTCCATTTGATGAACCAAACTGAGATCCTTGAGCCTCAACGGTATGATGTTCTTGCCAATCTATCTTCTGAACTGTCTTTCAGCAATTCTACAAACTCCTTGAATGCAGAAACCACATGGTGTATTAGAGAAAGCCATAAGCCAAATTTAAAGGTAGATTTTGGTTGATCTGTTATGATTACATTACTCATTTCTGAGAGCTATCAAATGGTACCGCAACATTCTACACTAGCAGAGGGAAACAAATTCTGAAGAAGCTAGTAACACTGCAGCTAACAATAATTTCTCAACACAGTAAGATGCACAACTTGTTAATGACATGTCCTAGACTCTTTGGAAAATACTATTGCAAAGCCTCCAGGCACCTGAGAGACACTTTACCCTGTTCTCCCAAGAGAAAAAAGGAAAAAAAAAAAAAAAAAAAAAAAACCACACTTTACTACTCCAGATAACTTAATCTGTCACTTCATGTCTGAAGATTCCCAAAGATTGCATCATCTGGTACCAGCAGTGAGCTTGACCACACATCTGTATCATGCACTGACCCCCCAAGAAAAAAAAAAAAAAAAAAAAAAAAAAAAAAAAAAGACCACACTTTACTACTCCAGATAACTTAATCTGTCACTTCATGTCTGAAGATTCCCAAAGATTGCATCATCTGGTACCAGCAGTGAGCTTGACCACACATCTGTATCATGCACTGACGCTATAATTTGTTTTATTATTCAACATACAGAACACTCTACTCTTTGAGCAGCCTCCTAGTCAGGCTGAAATCAATTAAGCCATTGCCACTGACCACACAAAGAGCCCAGAATTTCAACACCAGTCTCCCCTTGAACTAATCAAGTGACAGAGAAATGACACTTCTCAAGACAATCTCAGCAGATCACCCACCTTGAAGAATGAGAAGTCATCAGGGAAAGGGTGGGGGGAAAACCCAGCAAAGTAATTACTTACTTTGGGAAGATGACAGTCATGAGCGCTGATGCATAACCAGGCTTGCACATTCCCTCAGAGAAATTTGCATACTTCGATGCCAATTCTGGAGGCCTGTGAAAAAAATAAGTAGAGAGTCAGGACTCTCCTGGCTATGAACTGGCTTTTGCAATCATCCAAGTTATTTTTTTCTTTACAGCTTTTCTGAAAAACAGCTGTGATGAATTCAAACACAGGCAGGTATATATTTGTTGCAATATAGCATCACAGGAGAACAACAAACAGAGGACAGGGTTAAAGATATCCTTAATTCCACTAAACCACTAGTTTTGCTGCAAGATTTTCATACCTAGGAAGCTCATGGAAGAAAAATATCAAGGTATCATTTTAGACTTCAACTTTTCCAAAGGAAGAAAACATAAACAGCACTTTGCTTTGGCTATTTTTCTAAAGTATGATCAAAGTTAAAATTATAGAACAGTATTATTTAGAAAATTATTTAGAAGATATGTTTCAAGCATTTGAAACAAACTGCTAAGCAGTTCTGACAGGCTGTCATCAGGGGATGCATGCTTTCAGTATTTGGAACAGATGACATTGCTGCTGTCTTAATTCAGCTTGCCTAGTGATTTCAGGGCCAAATTCAGAATATTCGTGGGTTGTTTGGTTTTTTTTCCCCATTTAGTTTTTGTACAGAAACAAGATTAGCAACTCAAGAAAAGATACTTAAGTCCAGTACGTACTTTTACCATAGATCTACTGAGTGACCTGAAAAAAACATTTAATTTTATTTGTGTCCCTATTCACCACCTGCAACATTTTTACGTTCATCCATTTCACGAAAACATTACAAGGGTTGACTCATTTGTGCTTTCAGAGTAACATTAGATACCTTATTGTCAGTCACAATACGAGAATTATTAATAATCCTTCAAAAAAAAAAAGCATTTGCAGTTACATGCTCAACATTCAGTGGAAGTTGCAAGGGTTAACCACCACAAAGTCAATCGATAATATTGTCTTTGCTACACCATTTTGTTAGCAGTAGGCAAGTAATTAAAGGTTTTTTCCTACAGGTCAACAGTAGGAGTCAAATGAAGATGACAGTACAGATCCCGCAGAGGAGATCCACAAAAATAATTTTGAAGACCCTGTTGTTATCACAACCATACTCTCTTTTCCAGGCATCACCAACACGTACATCACCAATATCACTTAAGCAGCAAACTACTGCTAAATGTAACGAGCGTGGATTCAGAGAGTCTCAAGTGAGCAGTGCAAAGAGAACCCCCACTGGCAAAACTCATATCTGAATGACAGAAACTCCATGCTGAACTGGTAGTAACTATCCTTCTTGTACTGGTCCTGGAGTCACTTCCCAAGGGATCACTAGCCAGTTCCAACTGGGTGATCAATAGATGGACAGTTAATTTTACCATTAGCCGCATACAGTACAAAATCTCCTAAATCTATAGTTCTTAAAGAATAAAACCTATTTCTGCTGAATAAAAATCTAACCCTTCAAGAGCTGGAAGGGGAAACAAACTGGAAAAAATAAAAAGTCACTGTAAGTATTTAATTTCTGAAGATGTTTGCAGATTAAAAGCACTGGAAAAAACTTAAGGGATGGACCCGATTCTAATTCTGCCACAGATTTCCTGCATAGTTTTGGTCAAAACAGGTATTATTTTACTATCACAATTCCTCATCTATAAGATGGCATAAAAATACATTTGACTATTTACACCATCAATTATTTACAGCAAAGTTTAGATTTCTCTAAATATATTATAAGGACATGGAGAGAGAGATTCAGGTGTCTAGCACAACCCAAATCCATGAGTTTGGTTTCCACAGATGACATTATAATACGTATCTCTAAATGAGAGATACAAGAAAGCATCTCAGATGTCAGCATCTAGAAGTTTGAATCCTGACGACTTGCACTGAATGACTGGTGTTCTGACTCCCATCAGGATCTCTTTAGAAACAGGCACAGGAAGGAAAGGCTTGTTGCGGGCAAAACAGAAGGTTTTAATGGTGCTAAAATATATCCCCTACTGACACAGTCAAAAGGGACAGCCCGGTGTATAGATCACAGCTTGTTGCAGCATTTCACGTATGAAGCAGCGTGGGAAATCTTAATGTTCACCAAGCAAACTTAAGCGTTGCTGCATGTTTCCTGTTTAAGCAACATACAGAAACCCCTAATACCAAAAACTTTGAAAACAAGTAGAAAGCAACTGGAATTTATCTGCAGCCACCACGGTAGTGAGTCATTGCTGGCAAACTTGTATAACTATTTCAACAGCAGGCCTTTCTCAAATGACCTCAGTGGTCATACAAAATATCTTGTGCCACAAACACAAGCATTTTCCTCTTTTCTGATTTAATGGCGCTTTCATTATCAAATTAAAATGTCACTCAGATGCCCATCATGGTGTTTCTGCAAAAGAATAGTAGGCTGAAACCCTCATGCATTTGAGTCGCACAGAATGCCAATCAGAGCCGCATACCGACGGTGGAGCTGTCAATTATAAAACCCACAAAGATACTCAGAGCTGCTAAAGCCCGCGGGGCCGAGCTGTTAACATTTCTTGGATGTGATGAAGTTCATGCTCCAGAGCGCCAGAGGCAGAACAATTCTCGTAAGGCAGTTGTAGCTGCCATCTCGTATCATTCAACATTTGCTCATCTCCTTTCTTCTAACCATATATTGAGCCAGCAGGCTACAGAAAACTAGAAATGGGCATGCTACATTTTAAATTCATCTAGGGACACATTTTATTTGTTCCATTTCTTCAGGTTACACATTACACACTGCCATTGCCAGCATGCTCCTAACGATAAGCCTACGTTAGGTATAACTTAAAGCAAAACATTTAGAGCAAGGCTGGATACGGCCTTGCCATCTACCATTCTGCTACCACATGAAGCTATCCAAGCTAACTTCATTTTAGAAATATAAATTTGCTTTGTGTTTTCTTTCCGCAAGATCCACAGATCTCACAGATTTCTCTTCCATAAATCGGACTGCAAAACATCCTGCATGAAGCATCACATGGAGAACTATACATTTTTCAAACAAATCCAGCTTTGCAAAGATCACACTGCTGTTAGTAGGTACAGAGTGCTGTAACAAAAATGTGTACAGAACTGAAGTGTATGAATAAGCATCTCCTTCATATCCGATGACAGTGTACTTATTACACTGCTGCATATATTGCTGCTACTTTGATTTTGTTTCTTATTTCCAAATGGAAGCAGCAATACTACCGAAAGTGCGCTCTGCAAAGGCTGCCCGACAAATTACCAAAACATGGTGCATGGCCTTCAAGAGCTTATATTTGATTCCCATTTTATAACCCTGAATGCTGCTTACAACAGATGGGTCGGAACCACGCACCAAACCAAACCATATCACTTTCTGAGAGCTTTGCTAGTAAATAGGTTCATCTCCCTAGCTCCGTTACTGCGCCTGGAATCCAAGGCCACCCCGAGCCGCTGCAGTAAAGCAGCCAGGGCCCTCACGACTGCTACGGCACAGAGGTGCAAACGTTCTCTACGTTATTCCAACTCCAGATTCTCGTGCTCCTAGTTCAAGTGAAAGCATCAGTTGGGTTGAGGCAGTTAAAGAGCAAGTGGAGACAGCAGAAAAGATGTAATTAGATGACACTGCAGACCCTTACATTTTGCTCATATTTTGTGCAGGAAAAACCCAGTAAGATAATAAATTTATCCAGAATAAATGAGGGAAACAATTCCTAGTCAGTAACTGTAAACATCTGCAGTTTTTAAACAAGTGCGTGCATGAGGGTGAAGTTAACGGGAAGTAATTGGCTTATTCCACTAAAAAGAAAATGCACTCTTGCTTTTTTTTTTCCTGACTTTTCTAGGAGACTAGCACGCATCCTGAATTCTTAAGATTTTCTGTGCTTCTCTACACTGTTATGTGGATATCGAACCTAACAAAATTTCAGAATTTGGATAAGATAAAAATCTAGCTGCTTTCAGAGGATTTAGAAAAAGTAACAAGATTTTTCCTTCTGCTTGCATTTGACAGATGTGTGTCTTCTTTTAATCTCAAATATGAAAATGTCACCATGATTAATTCCTTCATCATGTCTTGATAAGCGATAGCATGTCATCCTCATAGAACTGGAATCTAAATCCATTTAAAAAAAAAAATAAATTACTAATACAAGCTCAGTGTTTGGACTACTACAAAGAATGTTCACAGCTAAGCTCACGTAATTGAATATTACAACATCTACTTTAAGACACAGATTTTGCCTCTTTGCCTTCCACATGGAATTACACTGTGGATTGTAAAAACTGAAAAACTTCATCTGCTTGAGATCATCTTATTTGAGGACTGATTTCTTTTGCTGTTAAACTTTCACACAAAATATATGTACTGATCCATTTCTGAAACAAGGAAAAGGAGTTCTTTGGCCTTGGGGCTTCTTTCTCCTTGGTCCAAAATAACCTGAGTCTTATACCCATACAGCAGCTCTACAAAGTGTATGTCATGATACCTGAAGAATGAATAGGAGACACGATGACAGCATGAAATGAAAGGCATGTAAAACATAGTGGTTATTATGAAGTAATAATGAAATAATATTAGTAAGTAATTTGGCAGATCAATAAGGGGCAGATCACTAAATCAAAGCAGTTAATGCTAAGACCCCATAGCTACACCACACGAGATTGCCCATCCCTGGAAACACTCAAGGTCAGGGTGGACGGGGCTCTGACTAACCTGATCCAGTTGAAGATGGCCCTGCTCATTGCAGAGGGGGTTGGACTAGATGACCTTTAAGGGCTCCTTATTCTACAATTCAAGACACTTTATTTTAGATAGGACTCCAGTCAGATTCCCTGGGCCAGATGCATCCATCACATACATACATGACTCAGTGTTGGCCAAAAGGCCAAGTTTTAGTTAGTACTCTTACGTCCCCAATTAAATATTGTTGAGTTTCTTAGATTCCTGGAGTAAAGCTTTCAGTTTAGTTTCCCCCAAATAAGCCCAGGGCTACATTTCAAAACCAGTTTGTGAACTCAATCAGCATACAGTAATTATGGGATTTGCTTCAAAATTGCAGGAC